TCCATAGAGACCCGGGTTTGGTTCCCGCTAAGGGCATGTACCTCGGTTGCAGTTTGTCCCCGGCCCTGGTTGGTCGTGCGGGTGGCAGCCACTCGATGTGTCCCTTTCACATCGATGTCTCTCTCTCTCTTTCTCTCTCTCTTTCTCTCTCTCTCTCTCTCTCTCTCTCTCTCTCTCTCTCTCTCTCCCCCCCCTCCCACTCTATCTGTACAAAAAATGGAAAAATGTCCTCGGGTGAGGATAAAAAAAAAATGGGCAGAGGAACTAAATAGATTCCTCTCCAAACAGGACATACAAATGCCCAAGAGACATATGAAGGAATGGTCAATATCACTAATCATCAGAGAGATGCAAATTAAAATAACAATGATGTATCGCCTCACAACCTTCAGAATGGCTGCCATCAACAAATCATCAAACAAGTGTTGGTGAGAATGTGGAGAAAACAGGACTCTAGTACACTCTTAGTGGGAATGCAGACTGGTGCAGCCACTATGGAAAACACTATTGTGTCACCTCAAAAAATTAAAAATTGAGCTGCCATTTGACCCAATGTTCCTACTTCTAGGAATATACCCTAAGATGCCTGAAACACCAATCAGAAAGAATATATGTACCTCCATGTTTGTAGCAGCACTATTTACACTAGCGGAGATCTGGAAACAGCCCAAGTGTGCATCAGTAGATGAATGGATGAAAAAGCTGTGGTACATATCCACAATGGAATACTATTTAGCTGTAAGAAAGATCTCTTATCCTTTGAGATGACATGGAGGGACCTGGAAAGTATTATTCTCAGCAAAGCAAGTCAAGCAGAGAAAGACAAATATCACATGATCTCACTTACTGATGGAATACAATGAACATTACAGTCTGAGGAATTGGGTAGACCCAGAGACGTGGAAGTAGGATACTGACTGACAAACCTAAGAGGAGGGGGTTGTGGGGGGAGGGAAGAGATAAACCCCAGAATTTATATGAATGTACTCATAACTGATGAACACAGACACAAAGTGATGCATTGGGGGGGTGATGCGGAGGAGGGTGTCAATGGGGGGAAAAGGAGAAACATCTGTAACAAATATAAATTAATAAAAATTTAAAAAATAGAAAAACTGAATCAAATGTATTTGAATATAGTTAACCACTATAAAAAAATAAAAATAAAAAATCCACACCAGAATAAGATAGATTTTTTTAAAAAACATTTTGGAGGTATTAGTATTTAAGACAGATATATAGAAAATTGTTTGCATGATTCCAATTTGAACACTATTTATACATTAATTTGACAGAATATAAAATCAATTGCTTAATCATTGATTAAGTTTATCAAATAATTTCCATTTAAAGGTATTTGATTATGCTGCAGAGTTTTGAAAACATCATCAAATATCCTTTCAGATATAATTATCTGAACCATTTTTCCTCGGGTTAATTTTTTTCTCACTCTTAAGAAGAGCCTTTTCATTTGTCTACCCTTTAAAAGTAAAAAAATAGGTAATACTATACATGGTCATCCTGTAATTGCTTAGTAAGTTTTATTCATGCTGAAACTGTAAAACTAACACAGACGTAAATAGAATTGACAGTACTCATACAACTCAAAAGAAGGGAGACAAAGAATCCAATTAAAAAAATGGGCAGAGGACCTAAATAGACACCTCTCCAAACGGGACATACAAATGGCCAAGTGACATATGAACAAATGCTCAAAGTCACTAATCATCAGAGAGATGCAAATTAAAATGACTATGAGGTATCACTTCACAACTTCCAGAATGGCTACCATCAACAAATCATCAAACAACAAGTGTTGGGGTGGATGTGGAGAAAAGGGGTCTCTAGTACACTACTGGTAGGAATGCAGACTGTTGCAGCCACTATGGAAAACAATGTGGGGATTCCTCAAAAAATTAAAAATTGAACTGCCATTTGACCCAGTGATCTCACTTCTAGGGATATATACTAAGAAGCCTGAAACACCAATCAGAAGTAATATATGTACCCCTATATTCCTAGCAGCACTATTTATAGTTGCTAAGATCTGGATACAGGCCAAGTATCCTCAATAGATGAGTGGATAAAAAAGCTGTAATACATATACAGAATGGATTGTCCTTTGAGTTGACATGGAGGGACCTAGAGTATTATGCTAAATGAAATAAGGCAATCAGAGAAAGACTAATAAAATCATATTTTTTTTAAAAAAAGAAGTTTTCAAACAACAAGTGTTGGCGAGAGTGTGGAGAAAGGGGGACTCTAGTACATTGCTGGTGGGAATGCAGACTGGTGCAGCCACCATGGAAAACAATATGGTGTTACCTCAAAAAACTAAAAATTGAACTTCCACTTGACCCATTGATCTCACTTATAGGAATATACCCTAAGAAGCCTGAAACACCAATCAGAAAGAATATATGTATCCCCATGTTTGTAGTAGCACTATTTACAATAGCTAAGATCTGGAAACAGCCCAAGTGTCCATCAGTAGACGAATGGATAAAAAATGCAGTGGTACATATACACAATGGAGTACTACGCAGCTGTAAGAAAGATCTCTTATCCTTTGAGAGGACCTGGAGGGACCTGGAAAGTATTATCCTAATGCAATCAAGACTAACAGAGACATTCAAGTATCATATGATCTCACTTATTTGTGGAATATAATGAACATAACAGTCTGAGGAATGGGGTACTCCCAAAAAACGTGGATGTGGGGTACAGATTGACAATTCCCAGAAGAGAGGGTGGTGGGGGAGAGATAAACCACAGAACTTATATGCATGTGTGCATGAACAATGGACATTGACAACAAAGCTGGGGACAGGGCAGGGAGGGAGGGAGAGGAGGGATCAGTGGGGGGAAAAGGAGAAACATCTGTAACAAAAATAAATTAATTAATTACTAAAAAATGATGTGCATTCACAAAAAAAGTTTTAAAATCAATAAAATCAAATTTTAAAAATGAATGCTATATAATCTATAGCCCCTCAAAAAAATACATTTCCTAGATGATTCTCTTGTAAGAATAACAGAAGAGCATTTGTTGCTCTCTCAAAATGTGCTATCTTTTAATAGCTTATTGAGGCAACCTGCTTCTTTTCTTTCCATGTTAAGGTAACATTCTGTTGCTACTCTAAGTGGCTTCCACAGAAGACTGGAGTTGCTAGCCCCTGACATATGTTCACCTGTTCACCTCACTTAGTCACTGTGTAAGCCACCTAGGCACCCAGGCCAGACTACTCTTAAGTAGAGAGTTCAACTGTTACAAATTAAGTGATGATTTTTAAAATGAGTCAAGCATTCCTTTGGGAGTTAATAAAAGACCACAGACATCATTTGGCAAAAGAGGATTAGTATAGAGAACAGGGTAATATGTTTCTTTAAGGAAAACCGTGAACACACCATGAAGGATTTGGTGTAGTTGATGTATCTGACTTTGGCCACCCAATGGCAAGAGCAAGCAACTGAGTTCCCAGGATACATTACACCTGTGGATTTCACAACAGTTAACCACCCCACACCCAGACCCTTGGACGCTAGGGAGAGATGATTTAGTGGTTCCTGATCTCTTATTTAATAAAAGTAGCCAGTGTACCCTTAATTGAGATAGTCTCATCTCTGATCAGAATGATAGGATTTATTTTTAATAGTCAATAACAATGATTTTTAGCTGAAAGTGTACATGAATATCCACAAAAGGTGAAATCATGTGGCTACACAATTTGATAGTAAACAGCTTTCTGCTCTTTATTATTATTATTAGTTTGCTTCAAACACTGGGCTACTAAGAAGGCACTTACCAGGGGAAGACTAAGGGGGAGTTGGAGTGACTTTTGTAAGGGGAGGAAAAGGGAGGCAGAATTTTAACTGGCACATGGATTGTTTGAAATCCTATATTGTTCTCTTGTGGCCACATGGATCATCATTTTTCATAATTTCAACCATTTATATAACACTTGGCAGTTTATAAGGGAATTAAGACAGTTTTTATTTTCTTCTTTTACAGATGATGAAGGGAGATTCAGAAAGATTAAGTCACCTCTCCAAATCATAGAAATGATAAATAGTAGAGGCAGGACTCCTATTTTTCATGTACCATATTGCTTTATGATACAAAAATCAAGAGACAAGAAATATATTATTCTGGCTTGGCTTTGGTTTTCCCTTTTGGTTAATAATTTACTTTGGGAGAGATTATCACTACCTTTTGTAAATTTGTGCTGCCTCCATTGTATTCTGATGCACATATTCACTCCAACTAGTATCATTTCCCACAATTTGCTATCACTGTTCTCTCCTCCTCTCCTCCCATCCATGCTTCCACATCTCATTCTCTCACAGGCTACAATTTCCATAATTATATGCCATCAACAATGTGGTGGTAGGTAACAATGAAGTTCATTTGAGATCCCAGAAAGCATAAAGACAAAAATTGGGGGTAGGATGTTTAAACAGGGAAAGTCTCCTTAAAACGGTTGTGAGTCTATTCAGACTCCAAAAGAAAGACGCATAAGGATGCAAGAATAGGAAAGAAACTTGGTGAGATTAGAAGAGTAGCTTTATTAAAGAATGGGGAAAACAGGTAAGAAATGAGACAGGAGGAATAAGCAGAAGGATCTTGAAGTTATACTCCTGGAAACAGAATAGTGGTTACTTTAAACAGCTTAAGCAGAAAGACTGCTTCATTATTAAAAGTTACAGAAATAGTCCTGGCTAGTTTGGCTCAGCAGTTGGAGCATCGGCACGTGGACCAAAGAGTGGTGGGTTTGATTCCCAGTCAAGGGCACGCGTGCTTGGGTTGCAGGTTTGATCCCAGGCCCAGGTTGGGGTTGTGCGGGAGGCAGTCAATCAATGTGTCACTCTGACATTGATGTTCCTCTCTCTCTCACCCTCCCTCCCTTCCACTCTGTCTAAAAAACTCAATAGAAACATATCCTCAGGTGAGATTAAAACAATAACAACAAAAAGGCACAGAAATAAAAGTTTAAACTTACCCACAAGATTTCTTCAACACAGCTTGGATCACTGGGAAGGCTTACCTAAAACAAAATAAACAAACAAACAAAAAAATAAGTACAATCGAGTTACTTTCAGAGAAGCTTATTACAAAATATTTTTCTCTGTAGGAAACTTTGTAAAGAAAGTAAATACAGCTATGAATGTGGTTTCTCTACATTAAATACAAAGCAGTAAGTATTTGCAAATGGCCAATTGTAGTAAGATCTCAGTGCAAACTGCAAAAAGAGAGTGACTCATTTTGTCACTGATTTTATATGGGACATTGAGCAATCCTCTCCCACTGACCAGGCTTCACTTTGATCATCTATCCATAAAAGGACTTCAAATTCCTGATCTTTAAGACCTTTTTGACCTTCTGACATAGTTTAGTACGTTACTTATAATCATAGATTTTTAAAAGATGGGGCCTGTATGAAATATTTCTATGATGAAATTAAGTTCTCTTTTTTTATCCACTCATTACTGATGGGCACTTGGGTTGTTTCTAGATTTTTGCTATTGTGAATAGTGCTGTATATGTTCTTTGCAACTGGTGTTTCAGGCTTCTTAGGAAATATTTCCAGTAGTGGAATCATTGGGTCAGATGACAGATCAATTTTTAATTTTTTGAGGAAACACCATACGGTTTTCCATAGTGACTGCACCAGTCTGCTTCCCACCAGCAGTGCACTAAGATTCCTTTTTCTGCACATCCTCACCAGCACTTGTTGTTTGTTGATTTATTGATGATAGCCATTCTGGCAGGTGTGAGATGATACCTCAGAGTCATTTTTATTTGCATCTCACTGATGATTAGTGGCACTGAGCATTTGTTCATATGTCTCTTGGCCATTTGTATGTCTTGTTTTGAGAAGTCTCTATTCAGGTCTTCTGCACATTTTTTTTATTGGATTGTTTGTCTTCCTTTTGTTGAGTTGTATGAATACTTTATATACTTTGGAATTCAACCCCTTATCAGATGTATCATTTGTAAATATGTTCTCCCAAACAGTGGGCTCCCTATTCATTTGATTCTTGTTTCTTTTGCTGTGTAGAAGGTTTTTTGTTTGCTGTAGTTTATTTGTTTATTTTTGCTTTGTTTCTCTTTCCCAAGGTATTGTATTCATGAAATTTTTGCTATCTGAGAAATTTTTCTGCCTAGGCTTTCTTCTAGGATTTTTATGGTTTCATGACTTACATTTAAGTATTTTATCCAATTTGAGTTTATTATTGTGTTTGGTATAAGTTGATGGTCTAGTTTCATTTTTTTTTTTCATGTACTTGTCTGATTTTCCCAACACCATTTATTGAAAATACTGTCTTTACTCCATTGTATGCTCTTGCCTCCTCTGTCAAGTATTAACTGAGCATAATGGATTGTGGTCAATTTCAGGTTCTCTGTTCTTTTACATTGATCTACATGCTTGTTCTTGTGCCAGTACCAGGCTGTTTTGATTACAGTGGCTTTGATCTGGTATTGAGATCACTCCTACCTTGTTCTTCTTTCTCAAGATGGCTGTGGCTATTTGGGGTCCTTTTTTGGTTCCACATAAAATTTTAGATTATTTGTTCTAGATCTGTGAAAGATGCCATTGGTATTTTAATAAGGTCGCATGGAATCTATAGATTGCTTTGTGTAGTATGGGCATTTTAATTATGTTAATTATTCCAATCCATGAATATGGTATACTCTTCTATTTGTTTTTATCTGCCGCTATCTCTTTTTTCAACATCCTGTAGTTTTCTGAGTATAGGTCCTTTATTGCCTTGGTTAAACTTATTCCTAATTATCTTAATGTTTTTTTCTTTTTTCATTGCAGTTGTACATGGAATTGCTTTTTCAGTTTCTTTTTCTGAGTGTTTATTATTGGTATGTTTAAATATCTCATATACCATCAATTTCTGAGTATCAATTTTGTATTTTGCTACATTACAAAATTAATTTATTAAACCTAGTAACTTTTGGTGAAGTCTTTAGGGCTTTCTTTGTACAATGTCATATATCTGTGAATAATGACAGTTTTACTTCTTTTTTTTTTTTTTTTTTTTTTTATCCTCACCCGAGGACATTTTTCCATTTTTTGTTCAGGTAGAGTGGGAGGGAGAGAGAGGAACAGATATATAGAGAGAAACATCGATGTGAGTGGCTGCCACCCACACAACCGACCAGGGCCGGGGACAAACTGCAACCGAGGTACGCGCCCTTAGCGGGAACCGAACCCGGGTCTCTCAGGACCACAGGCCGACGCTCTAACCGCTGAGCCAAAACGGCCAGGGCTAGTTTTACTTCTTCCTTACCAATTTGAATGCCTTTTATTTTTTGTTATTGTCTGATCACTGTGGCTAGGACCTCCAGTATTCTGTTTGTGGTGAAAGTGGGCATCCCTGTCTTATTCCTGTTCTTAGAAAAAATGCTGTCATTTTTGCCCATTGAGTATGGTGTTGACTGTAGGTTTTTCATATATGGCTTTTATTATGTTGAGGAATGATCCCTCTCTATTTTGTTGAGGAATAAAGCTGTGGTACATTATATACAATGGAATATTATGCAGTTATTAAAAGAAGAATCTATTACCCTTTGAGACAGCTTGGAGGGACCTGTAGAGTATTATGCTCAGTGAATTTAGCCAATGAGAGAAAGATAAGTATCACATGATATCACTTATACATGGAATCTAATGAACAAAATAAACTGATTAACAAAATAGATCCAGAGACATTTAAGCAGGAAACACACTCAGAGGAAAGGATCAGGAGGGGTGGTAAGAGATTACCAAGGAACTTACATGTATACATACATTACCCATGGACACAGACAATAGGGTGGTGATGGCCTGGGACAGGACGGGACCTGGGATAAAAGGGATAATGGGGGGAAAGGGAGCATCTGTATTACTTTGAACAATACAGATTTAATTTTAAAAAATTAAGTTCTCTTTGAACTTATGAGTCCAACCAGATGCCTACAATTCTTATTGAAAACACTGAGGCTAAAATTGTTTTGTAAATTGCATGCTTGTCTTAGCAATTAGAGACTCTTACAAACACTAAAAGTGAATCCCATGAGCCATGATTCCCAGTGTGACACATTTCTAACCAATCAAAGTTCAGAAATGTAGTAGCAGAAATGTACTGTGGACATACTCCATGTCTAACAGGTGGCCTTTTTCTCCAGGGGCTACATAATGAAAGCAAGATGCCAAACACCAAATTGAGGCACCAACTACAAATCAGTGCATGGTGAGGGACTTGAGAGTGGGACAACCACCTGGATAAAGGTCTAGTGGGCATGATGTCTTCTGTGCAGGTTATGGGCCTCCCTCAAACATTCTTAACCCTCTCTTTCACACCTTCTCCCTCTCTCAGATTGCAGTCTTGTCACTTCCACCTCTCTCCAGTAAGGAGAACATTTACCCTTTTTAACTAACTGCCTTGGAAGGTAAAAGGTCAGTCCTATACAGAGAGCACTTCCACAGAGCTTACATGTTCCAGGCCTCTTACAGGGCAATTAAGGCAATTAAGACATAACCCCTTAGTTACTCTGATACTTTAGAGTAGGAATATAACTATATTTTAGGAAATGAAGACTAGAATATGAATCTAGTTTTCCTCAATGTTAAAAAAAATATATGTTAAAATCTTCAACAAATCTTGAATTAACATTATAGTCATTATTGTGCATGGATAAATTTCAGCTAATATTTATTGAATACCTTCCCCATGTAAAGTTACCTGCTCTACATAGCATAAAACCCCTAGTGGGGTAGGCAAGGTGAGCAAAAGTCACCAACAACAAGTAGCCATCCAGCCTGGGTTATCCTGGCATAATTAATTGGCAGTGTTCTCTTTCTAACTCAATGATGTTCCAGTTTGGATGATAAATTACACAGTCACCCTTACTAGAACAATCATGATCTAATACTGCGTAGAAAGAGTATTAAAAGTAGAGGCTAAAAAGGTGGTTGGGCACACGTTGTAAAGAACCTTCAATATGGATTTCTGATAGGGAATCAGAGGTGGTTTTGCCTAGTACAATTCATTAATTCTTCCAGTCATTCAACAAATATTTTTGAGTGCTAGGGGCTATGCCACCAGACTTGCAGCAGGCACACATACAATGGGAAGCAAAAAGAAAAACAATTTCTTCCCTGATGGACTTTTCAGACTTAAGATGAAGGCAGATATGAAGAATGGCATAGTTAATGTACAAATAGAACTGTGGTAAGTGCTACAAAGCAGATCATCCCATGGACACTAGTTCTTCAAAATATAAGGTTCTATATCCAAATAAGTGAGGGTAAATCTGCAATCAATCAGCCTCTTGGAGATCCATGATTCAAATTAAAGGCGCTGTGACACCTGTCTAAGTGGTTTAATTTAGCACTGCCCATCTTTTGTGGTCTGAATTATTGGGATTTTAATATTCATGGTTCCCCATTCCCTTCACTAATTATTACTACCATTGCACAGAAGAAATATTTGTAGAACATATACTGGGAGACGGTGGTCTATTACAAAATTACAGAACTCAACTGATTATTCTTTTTTATTACTAATTTGTTACAGATATTTCTTATTTTTCCCCCATTGCCACCCTCCTACCCTCCCCCATACCTAGCTTTGTTGTATATGTCCATTGATCATGCATACATTCATGTAAGTTCTGTGCTTTATCTCTTCCCCTCCCCAAACCCCCTTCTCTGAGGCTTGTCAGTTTGTACCCCACCTCTATGTCTCTGGGTTAATTTTGTTCATCAGTTTGTTTAGTTCATTATATTGCACAAATAAGTGAGATCATGTGATATTTGTCTTTCTGTACTTGGCTTGTTTCACTTAGCATAATATTCTCCAGGTCCCTCCATGCCATCCCAAAGGATAAGAGTTCTTTCTTTCTTATAGCTGCATAGTGTTCCATTGTGCATATTTACCACAGCTTTTTAATTCACTCATCTACTGATAGACACTTTAATTGTTTCCAGATCTTAGCTATTGTAAATAGTGCTGCTATGAATATAGGGGTACATATATTTTTTCTGATAGG